AGTAAATAAATAATTAAAAAGGAAAAAATAAATAAAAATAATTTAAATAGAGAATCCACACAAAGGAAATCCTATAATGCGCATTGCTTGTCTTCATTCTTATTTCAAATATTATATATACATTCACCATTCAATTTGCCCATAAATATATTTATATTTATGTGCATATATTTAAATGTTCTTCACTTAATCACTTCAATTAGTTAACTGAATCATTAGCTAACCGCGTTGTAAATAGCTTCATTTAGCTCTGATGAATTCAACCACAGCGATGCGAGTAAATTGATTGACTCATGGGATGACTAATCTGATAAAAAATAATATCAAGCTATAACACTGAAGTCTGGTCTTTATTCATTCACTCTGACTGGGAATACTTAAAATAATAAGAAAATGTTTACCAACTACGGCCTCGACCAGAGATCTACACTGATTAGCTGTCTGGCTTGACTGGATCTGGATCTGCATCGGGATGAATTGTCTTCTCATCCTCCTCCGATTGACGATCGTTTTTCTGTTCCTTTACAACGTCTTCTGTGTGCACGGGCACAGGGTCTGCCCCGAGCTGGGCATCCTCTTTTTTTCTGCTCTGATTTCGCCATTTCGCTTTCTCATTCATAACCAGGCCTACCAAGAAAACGACTACGGCTATGGATAGAAAGGCAGCCCAAATGTGCATTATCATTTCCCACGGATTCAATACCAATCTCTTTAGGGTCTCGGCACTTTTCATCAAGTCTGTTATGTCATATACGTCCTCGGCCATGGCGTATATATTGACCTCCAGGTTAAACGTATCATAGCCAAATAAAGATAGAATTTGGGACATTGTAAAAATATCAAAAGAATAATTTTTAGTTGTATAAACGTTGACAAAAGAAACTAAGTCAATTTTTTGGTAATTTTAAACACACTGGGTATATAGGTAACTAGTGACTGAGTTTATATAGGGTATTCAATTCGGATATTGCATATGCAAAAGTGGCTTAGCTGAGGTTTTGGGCGGAGTATGATAGCTGAATGGATATAATATAAATTTTAAAAATTAAAAGAGGGCTAAAAATATATTAACATTTGCACGGCACATTAATTTTATTTTATTTTTTTAAATTTAGTTTTATATTCAAGTTATTTCTCAGGAGTTAGTATATGTATAATATTTATGTCTTAAAAAATGTATTTACCTAAAAAAAATGATATAAAAAGATAAAAATAGCTCCTTAATGTCCGCAAAAATGATTTATTCAATCGGCAGGATTTAAGAACTATCTGGAAAATGTATGTTTCCATCTATAAAGATATTTGTGTCTATATATAGTAATAGATATGCATGTGTGCTATATCAACATATCCGGGTACGTTTTAAAATTAGTTTAATGTGGCTGGACACGCAAAACATTCGCAGTGCATTGAACCAGTGCATTGTTAATGCATATTGCATTTGAATGTGACAGGTGAATGCATTATGGCACACAGTTTTCCGTCTAGTCCAGCTCGCCTGACAGCCTGAACACCTAAGAGGGCGGAGGGACGCCCAATATGGATCAAGATTAGACAGCAATATATGGGTAAAGAGCATGACAAATGATGGACATCTAAATAGACAACGGCAAACTAATTAAAGTTCATTAATTTTCAGAAAAAAAAAAAAAACAAAAACAAAATGGGTGCCAGGGTTAGAAATGGCTAGAAATGTGATCTAACTATATTGACATCGATACATATAACTAATGAACACGTAATGGCCGTCTATTGCAGCTAATCGAAATCTTTTGTCTGGCCAACTGGCGCCGGTGCGTGCCTTCAGCGAAAACGGACATGGGGACAGTGCGCAGAGCAAGCAGGAGCCCTACGAGAACATCAACTCCAATCTGATTGGCGTGCAGTCCAAGTGGGTGAACAGCTGGACTTTCCTAATTCTACAGCCAAAAGAATATCATGATTTCGCAACTTTTGCAGATTTCGTCGCAGATATTATCACAAGGTAGTGCTGGGCCTGTTGGCGGCACTCGTAGTCGTTCTGCTCATAACAATCATAGCCTTAAGCGTAACATGTGAGTAGCTGAGTCGATGAGCAGAGATGAATAATTTTTTAATGGTTAATCACTAATCATTTTCAGTTAGGAAATCTAGTCATATATGCCGGAGCAAGGAGTGCATCCGCACAGCGGCGAGCCTTATCTATGCCATGGACGAACAGACTGATCCCTGCGAGGACTTTTATAAATTCACCTGCGGCCGCTGGGCCGACGAGCATCCGCGTCCCGACTCGGTCACATCGAACGATTGGTTCCGCGAGCGGCAGGCGCATATAATGCGCTTGGTTCGCTCCTTTCTGCAGTCGAACATCAGCAGCGCCGAGCCAGCTGCCGTGGGCATGGCCAAGACGATGTACCGCGGCTGCATGAACACGGAGCTGCTGGACGAGCGCGATCTGGAGCCGCTTGTGCAGTACCTGCAACGGTTCAAGCTGCTGCTGCTGCCCTCGGCTCTAAATCTAACTCTGAGCAGTGCCTCGAAATATGCCGCAGAGCCGAGAAAGTATTCTTACAACTGGCTGGACACGATAGTGGCCATCAAGCGTCACCTGAGTCTGGATTTGATAGTGGGCTTCGATGTGTTTCCCGATCCCCTGAATCGAACGCTCAATCGCATTGCGCTGGGCACGCCCGAAACGGAGTCCGCGTTTCCCTTGTGGGTGGCAGAGATTCTACTCTAAGTTGATATTCTATTCATTCTCTCCAATTGAATTTCAGCAACAATGACGACTCGCATAAGATGCTGCGCAGGATTCACAAACGCACCATTTACATGCACGACATGGACGAGAGCGATGATAATGATGGCCAYGACATGGAAGAGGAGGAGGAGGAGGCCAGCAAGCAGACCAGCTCCGGCATGTCCGCCTATGTGATGTACGTGCGCAAGGTCATCGAGAAGTACTTGCTCTATGTGGACCCCGAAGTCTATCAGGAGGAGGCCACGCTGGGCATCAAGGAGCTGGTGACGCAGGCCGTCAAGGTGGCACGCAAGATTCATACGGTTGGCCGGCTCATCTCTCACACGAAACTTTTCACATTAAAGAGATTCCTTTTTGCAGCTGAAGGAGGAGGCGGAGAACATAACGAAGCCATCCAGTAATCCCGTCGAGGATATCATATACATCTCATTAGTGAAACTTCAGAATGAAACGGATAAGAAGATTGCGCCCCAAACGATGCCCATTTGGCTGCGCTACATGCAGCTGATGCTGGAGGATACCAAGCACGCATCCACAATGGACATCAAGAATACGACCGTAATAACCAGCCAGGCGGACATTTACTATCTGCAGAACATTGTGGAGTATCTGCACGAAACGCCCGCCATGCACATCGAATCCTATCTGTGGCTGAGCGCCCTCGAGGAGCTGGTGCTGCACACGACCAGCGACATGCGGCTGCTGCATGCCGAGTACATGCGATTCGTCATCGGCACCGAGGGCAGCACTCCCCGCTCCCTCTACTGTGCCCACGGCGTGAATACGCTCTTTGGCATGGCCGTGAGCTATGTGCTGGCGGATGAGCGCTTCACGGCGCAGACTTTGCCTCGTGTCGAGCGCATGCTGAGCGACATACGGCGCTCGTTCGATCGACTGGTGCGCGCCACCAGCTGGATGGACGCGGCCACCAAGCGGCAGACAATGCAGAAGTCGGCCGAAATGAAGAGCTTCATTGGCTTCCCCCCGTGGCTGACCAATGAGACCGCTCTCAATGCCTACTACGAGGGCGTGCAGGTCAATGCGAGCACTCATCTGGAGAATCTAATGGGCTTCGTGCACTGGCAAATGCTCGCCAAAATCAATAACATGGACCAGCCGGAGCCCATCGGCTGGGCGACATCGCCATCGAATGTGAATGCTTTCCATACATTTCAATCGAACGCCATTAGTAAGTTGAATGCATTCGTGCGGTCACTTTTAATCAGTTCATTGCATCCATTACGTTCATTAAAAGTGGTTACTGCATAGAGTAGATTGAACGTGCGGAAATATGTGCGTCAGCAGGAGGCAGGAGGTTTGTTTTAAAGTACCGTAAAGATTAAAGCAAGTAAATTATAGATAACAATTCCAGGCGATATTAGATTAATTTCCGACATTCGCATTTCATTTAAATGTTGATGAGTTAAAGAGAAGATATTATATTGTAATTGGTGTAAATGAATCCATTGGCAGTATTATCTATTTAGTAACGTGCTTCCTTATGAGTATAAGCGTAGAATGACGAGCTTCAGTACAGCTCAAGCGCTATTTRTTTATTATCTTCCAGTCAGACAATCGTCTATAGTCAATAGCACAAAAAAAATATTAAGCAACCTTTTAAAGTTAGAGGATATCAACTAGTCAGTCAATACTGCATAATGTACTCTTAAAATGTTTTTGCATCTAGGTACAGGGTATTCTTGTATAGTTTCTTCTTCTAGTAGAATGACAATAATTCTAACTAGTAGCATGCCACTAATTTACTATAATTTTTTGCGCCAATTCCAGGGTATCTGTTAGTCTGGAGCTCCGCAATATGTTTTTCATAAAGTTTTGACTGAAATCATAGGATATCTTATGTGATATAATAGATAATGCACAAAAAATATTACATATTACACTCAGAGAATATTTTTAAAATGCTCGCAGAGTATTCACCAGTCTGTCAACATCAGAATAGAACATTTGAAATACCTTTTAAACTAGTCTAGGGATACTTGTAAATATATATTTGTAAGTCCTCCTGAATACATCAGAAGGTTAGGTGTTATATAAAAATTCTAATTGTAAAAAAAAGGTACTAAACTTGCATTGTACAGATTCAGCGCTTAAAATATATATACAAACAAAAAAAAAAAAAAAAAAAAAATTCTAAAAAAAAAAAAAAAAAGAGAATTTACAGCTGTTTTATAAGCTAAGTACAGGGTATATGCCAGTCAAGCAACTTCACATAGTATACTTTAATTACCTTTGTAAGCTGTCGGACAACATCATTTATAAACTAGTTTGGGGTCTCAAGCAGTCAGCCACTGTCTCATTAGTGGTAATCTCTTTATTGTTTTCCATTGCAGCTGTGCCCATTGCCATCCTGGAATATCCGTTCTACAACCTTGGCCTCGAGTAAGTCGGAACAGTTACGCCCCTAATCATGCACTGATTTCATTTCCCTGCACCTCGCACTCTGCGCACCCGCCACTGACCGCTGTCCATTCCGCACTCAATCTTGGCGCTTTAATCCCTTAAGATAGCAACTGAATTACATTTGTTCGAACGCATCCTTCTTAGAGCCTTGAATTACGGCTCGATTGGTACGATATTGGGCCAGGAGCTGACGCACGGCTTTGACGACAGCGGCCGGCGCTTCGACAAGGAGGGCAACATGGTCGAGTGGTGGTCGAATCAGACAATCAACGAGTATGTCAATCGCACCGAATGCTTCGTGGAGCAGTACAGTCGTTACTATTTGCCGGATATTGGGGAATACGTAAGCATGGCAACGGCAGCGGCAGCGGCAACGAAGCGCCCCTAATCAATACACAAATCTCGGCCTGCTTTCAGATTGATGGCGAGCTAACGCTGGGCGAGAACATTGCGGACAATGGTGGCATGCGGGAGGCCTATATGGCGTATCGCCTCTATGTGAAGGAGGTGGGCCGCGAGCGCCTGAAACTGCCCGGCCTGGAGCACTACACGCACGACCAGCTCTTCTTCATCGCGTTCGGCAATCTGTGGTGCGAGACATATACGCCAGCCGCATCGCGGTATGCGCTCGAGGACTCGCACTGTCCGGGCCAGATGCGGCTCAAAGGCGTTCTATCCAACTCCGAGGAGTTTGCGCGCACATTCAAGTGCAGGCGGGGCACTGCCATGAATCCGGATCAGCCCAAGTGTCGCATTTGGTGATGGACACCGAACAGCAGTTTTTTTTTTTTTTCTGGTGATGGACACCGAACAGCAGTCGAGTGATTTTTCTACATCAATTTCTATGTGTATTTTGCAGCTAATGCAACGTTTGCGTTTTTTGGTAATGGTATTGGGCTAATAAATGAACTTTTATAATGTAGTTACAAGTGCTGCTAATGTATAATGGCAGCTACGGAAATTCAATTACGTCCCACATTGCGTATGCGTGATCTGTAATGAATGCTGCGCTCAAAAGCAGGCAACACATTTTGCGCCTGAATCGCGACATTTATAGAAAATGTTGCATAATTTTGTGCGCCGAGGTAAATTAAATTTCACCTCACAGTCGGCCATTGTGTGCGTTAACGAGTTATTCATATTAATTGTTATATATTTTATTTTTAATAACATTTTGAATAACTATTAT